ATAAAACCTACTCTTAGTTTACAGTAAAACTGCAGGACAAAAAGAAAGACATTAAAAGTAGTTAAAAAAAATCTAGACAACCTTCAAAAGACTGAAAAAGTTAAGCTGATAGTTGACTTCTCAAAAACAATGATGAAGCTAGAATGCAGTTGCAAAGGGCTGTCCATCTAGAACAGTGGTTCTCAATCTGTGGGTCGCGACCCCTTTGGGGGTCGAACGACCCTTTCACAGGGGTCGCCTAAGACCATCGGAAAACACATATATAATTACATATTGTTTTTGTGATTAATCACTATGCTTTAATTATGTTCAATTTGTAACAATGAAATTGGGGGTCACCATTAAAGGGTCGCGGCATTAGGAAGGTTGAGAACCACTGATCTAGAATGTTTTACCAGTGAAAATACCTTTACTGGTAAAAATACAAGTAAAGGCAAAATAAAGACATTTTTAGACTAAAACTCAAGAGTTTGACACCAGAAGATACTATTGGAAGTTATCAAGGATTTACTTAAGGCAGAAGAAAAATGATCCCAGACAGTATAAGATTTAGAAAAGAATACAGAGGGAAAAAAGTGGAGGAAATATGGGTAAATTTAAACAAAGTTAGTATAAAATAGTAATACTAATGTCCTGTGGGAATGAAAACAAAAAACAGAATTACAATACACAGGATACCATAAAAGTTGCTTTAAGATTTCTTGTATAATATAGGGCAGTAAAAATATTACCATTAAACTTTGCTAAGTTAGGGATATCAGTCATGATTTCTAGGACAATCATTAAATAAACAAAAACAGTCTACTTTCTAAATCAGTTGAGGAATAGAATGTAAAAAATATTCAATCAATCCAAAAGAAGCTCTTATTTTTAAAAAAGGGGGTAATAAAGCATTTTACTAATTTATTAAGAGATTGCATAACTATATGAACCATGACAAGTCTACCAACCAAACCTTTTTTGGTTAGGTCAAAAAAAATTTTTTTTAAATTTTTATTGTTGAAAGTATTACATATGTCCCCCTCCCCCCCCGCCCCCTTGACCTCCTATAGCCCCCCCCCCCACCCCAGGCCTTCACCACCCTACTGTCCCGTGTCCATGGGTTATGCATATATGCATCCAAGTTCTTTGATCTCTTCCCACCTACGCATCCTCGCCCACCTTCCCTCTGAGGTTCGACAGTCTGTTCCATGCTTCTATGTCTATGGATCTATTTTGTTCAAGTTTTAAAGGAAATGTTTAAGGTTAAAGCATTTGCAACCAAGAAAATACTTTTTAATACAAATTCTGATTACTAAACTTCCTGTTGCAGACAGTTTAAGAATTAGTTTGGTATTCCCTTTTAAGCTACTGCCAAAGATATATTTCCATTCACAAGTCTAGATTAGGCATATAAATGCTTACAAATGTAGACCAGAAGATTAACAAGTAAGTACCTTGTAGCCCATCTTCTATTTCCTCTTCATCTTCACTAGAGGAAGCTAAATAGGCTTGAAAATCCATGTCCAAAAGCTCTTCCTTTTTAAACTTCCTGTTGAGTGTTGTAATTCTTTCATGATCAGTCTCATCCCAAGTGATCTCCACCTTTCACCAATGAAAAAGAAAAACAAGTAAAAATGAAAATGTCAGCCACTCAAACTTGTTAAAGAATATTTATCATTGCCCTGGACAGGGAGCTAAATTGGTTAGAACACTGTCCCAATATGCCAAGATTGTAGGGTCAAACCCTGGTCAGGGCACATACAAAAAGCAACCAATGAGTGCAAAAATAGGTAGAACAATAAATTGATGTTTCTCTCTCTCTCTCTCTCCCCCCTTTTTTCTCTCTCTCTCAAATCAATAACAATAAAACAGAGAGAATATTTACCATTAACTTATTACAGGTAGTAAGTTCATTACAGGAACTCATCCATAACATGATGGATCTGGTGACTGATTCCTGTCCTTTATGCAACTCCCATTCCCAGATGGGGTCGTAATGGTTTTATCTGCATCACAGGATGGGTTGTACATCATTGTTTTCTTTCCTCAGACTAATCTCCCCAGATCAGGACAACAAAATGGGCACCAATTAACCAAGGAATCTGATTCTTAAAATAGCTGGCACTGCCTTGGTTCTAACTAGTCACAAGATTCAGAATTATCCCTATTCTGATAATTAAGCTTGAGCTGATGACCACAAAACTACTGCTGGAACTGGGACAGATAGAGATAATACAGCCAGACCTTAGTAACTCCAGACTGGCTGACTGGACAGGCTTGCTCTGGTCACATTTTAGTCTTAAAATAACATGACTCTATACTTTATGTGACTTAACTTTTAGTCTTCACTTATTCATAATGGTGGAGTTTTACTAATCAAGGCCACGCAGTGTCCACCACAGCATGCATGACATGCACCTGACAGATACAGAAGCCCCTCTCTCTGCTACCAGCCTGTTCTCAGAAGAGCATGGTGGTTTGTCACAAGAAACGCAGTGGGAAGCCTATATGCCTACTGTGGGGTCCAGCTGTGGGTAGAAAGTTAATGGAGGGAAGAGAATAGAGAAGGTATGTAGCAAAACAATAAACTAATTCAACAGGAATCATTTGGCTGTGTGTTATTAAGCATTAATGTGACATCTAGTAGTCCCGAATTATTCTTCTTCAATTATTTTTTACAGTTTTGGATCATATTTGCAGAAAAAATGTGTTTCTATTTTAAATTTCCACTAGTCTTCTTTTAACTAGAATTTGAGGTAATCTTTACACTACCTTCTTCCCACTATTCCCTAGGATATTAATAACTGACATATTACTTATTAAAGAATCTAGTTGACTAAGAGTGTGTGGGAAAGAGAGAAGAAAAAAAAAGAAACATTTGTAGGTAATTGACTTGGGCTTAAAAGCATAACAAAAGTATGTAAATAGGTTCAGACAGATGTGGTAGATAAAGATGCAAATACACTTTTGGTCTCATTTCTATTTATACTTGTGCATTAAAAGTTTGAATACTGTCCATTTCTAAAGATGCCATGTACGGTAAATAGTACATGAAGTCTTTTCTTAAAACAATAGAGTCCAGCTACACATTTTTAAAAGTTAAAAAATACCGTTGATGTTCCCATTGCAGCAGATGTGAAATATTTTGGTTTATATGCTGTTAAATCCACTTCTAAGGCTACGTCCTTGGGCTCATCATCAAAAGTAATATCATCTGGTATAAACCTAAAAAACAAAGAGAAAATAAATGTATTTAAACATATGCTACAGTAATAAACAACCAGAGTTTAGAATCTCTTCTAATTAGTTGTAGTTTATACATACATACCATATAAAAGTTTCTACAGAACACACATGTAGATGAGGCAAACAAAGTTAGAAATAACCTTGGCACAAAACTTCTGAAATTCATAAGCTATAAATCTGTAATTCTATTAAATTTAAGTGAACTCTGTGTAGGTAGAAATCCTGCATTGGGAGTCAGCTAATATGAGTCAGGTGCAAGCACACATGGGTCCCTCATGTTTCAAAAAGAACTAGACTCCTGAAAGCACAGTCATTGGCTTGCTACATAATATTTTGAAGATCAAATAGAATTATTAATGGTTAAATGTTCTGAATATAAAGTATCATATACAGGAGGTGTCATTGAAAATAAGGAAAAGCTTAAAGTTAATTCTTCAAGACTAAAAAATCCTAACAATCTTATCTTGCAATTTTTTCTACAAGTAGATAGCTGTTAAGTAAATAATCGTTACACAATTCTTAGGCATCAGGCTAAGGAATTGGGAGCGCGGGGGAAGTAGAGTTAAATAATCCATGGTTACAGTATTTAGCTTTTGTAATTCATATAGATTTTAATTCCACAAGAAAAGCATAAAAATAATTTTGGTGGGTGAGGAGTGGATAATTGAGGTTCATTATGTCTACATAACATCCTTCTCCAGCTATACTTTTGCACACACTTAGAAGAAAAACAAACAGATTTGTTTTTGAGACTAATATACTTAACTGTTACTAATATGCATGCTTTTATATTTTGGAGCAGATGAAAAGAGTTTTCCCTAGATAACAGGATTGCAGCAGAAAACTATTTTCTTTTACATATGACAAAATAAAACAGTGAATGTAAAGATGAAATTAAAAAAGCGAATGGTCATTGATTTGACTTTCTAGGCACTGCCAGAGCTTATTCTAACACTGCATAGAAATGCCCCCAAAAGGAAACAGAACAACCCTGAAAAGAACATGTTAACATTAATTATGATACCCAGAGTTTGACATTCTAACAAATGTTTGGTAACTCCTATTTAAACATTCAAAACAAGCACCTCCTATTGAAATTGTTAACATAGAAGGAAATAGCCTCATGAGATATGCCCTTCTTGCTATATATTTAAGCATGCTAAAATCTTACCCCAAATACCAATTCCGAATTTTTTATTTTATTTTTCTACCAGTTGGAATGCCTTTAAAGCAGTGGTCGCCAACCGGTGGTCCACGGACCACTGGTGGTCCATGAGGTCCGAAAGGTTGGCAACCGCTGGTTTAAGGAAACCTTTGGAGCAGCGGTCGCCAACCCGTGGTCCGCGGACCACTGGCGATCCGTGAGGTCCGAAAGGTTGGCGACCGCTGCTTTAAAGTCATAGTGACTAAGAACTGATGAATTTTCCCCCTAAAATATTTAATTTGAGAACAAACTTGCATACAAAGAAATAGTTTCTATTGAAAAGTGTCATAGTAGAATGGTTTACTAGGTTCCAAAGACTAGGATAATGACAAAATGGTACAGTAGTTCAGCTTCCCATTTCCTTAGAACTGACAATCACAACCACCTAAGGTTTTTCACCTCTGGTCAGTGAAGCCTGAGCACATGGTGAAAATAATGCCCAAGTCTAAAGACAATGCCAGCAATTCCATCCACTCTTTCACTGAGCAGCACTTAGAGCAGTGTTATTAAACAGAATTTTCTGTGATGATGGCAATGTTCGGTATCTAAGCAAATAAATTTTAAGTTGAAAAGAAATGTTTTTTTCTCAGTCCCCCACTACCACAAATTATGCAACTGAGTTTCTCACGCATTTGGGGAAATCGCAGGGGTCAGCACATCCGGAATGCAATGGATAAACCTTGCCTTGGGAAAACCACCTTCATAATGATGGTATCTCCCCTGCCAGGTAAGTATTTAAACTTTTTAAAAAAATCTTTACCTATTTTTTCCATTGATCTTTAGAAGAGAGAGTGTGGAAGGGAGGGAGGACAGGGGAGGGGAAGGTGAGGGAGGATTGGGGGAGGGAAAGAGAGAGAAACAGTGATATGAGACAGAAACATCAACTGGTTGGGCTCCCACACACCCCAACCAGGGCTAGGGATGGAACCTGCAACCGAGCTACGTGCCCTAGACTGGAAATCGAACCCATTCCCCTTTGGTCCCCATGCTGATGCTCTAACTACTGAGCGAAACTGGCCAGGGCAGTATTTTTAAAATTTTAATTAAATAAATTTAAATAGCCAGATGTGATTAGTGGCTACTGTACTGATAACACATATTTAGAAGTACCAGTTTATTAGCAAATTCCTTTGCCCCCCACTTCAACGCTATTTTATTTTTTTTCAATGCTTTTTAAAAGTAATTTATCTGGCTCCTAATTCTAAAACACAGTTGCAAAGAAATATCACTATATATAACCCATAATCCTAAAAACATAGCCAACATATTTGAAAGGATACAAATGTGGGGTGGCTTATACAAAATACTTTAGCATTTTCTCATTCCAGTTTCTTTTTTTATAAAATATATAACATATTTTTATTGATTTCAGAGAGGAAGGGAGAGGGAGAGAGAGATAGAAACATCAATGATGACAGAGAATCATTGATCAACTGCCTCCTGCATGTTCCCCATGGGGCTCGGGTCTGCAACCTGGGCATATGCCCTGACAGGGACTCAAACTGTGACCTACTGGTTCATAGGTTGATGCTCATCCACTGAGCAACACCGACCGAGCGTAGTTTTCTTTCTTAAGAGTGATGTTCCACAGGACAGAGTTCTTCCAAAAGAAAAAAATCCTCTTTTAGAATATGAAATAGCCAAGCTGGTATGGCGCAGTGGTTGAGCATCAACCTATGAACAAGGAGGTCATGGTTCAATTCCTGGTCAGGGCACATGCCCAGTTGCAGGATTGATTCCCAGTGGGGGGAGTGCATCTCATCATTCTCTCATCATTGATGTTTCTCTCTCTCCCTCTCCCTTTCTCTCTGAAACCAATAAAAAACATATATTAAAAAAAAGAGGCCGTAGCCGGTTTGGCTCAGTGGATAGATTGTTGGCCTGTGGACTGAAGGGTCCTGGGTTTGATTCCAGTCAAGGGCACATGCCTGGGTTGTGGGCTTGGTCCCCAGTAGGGGGTGTGCAGGAGGCAGCCAGTCAGTGATTCTCTCTCATCATTGATGTTTCTCTCTCTCCCTCTCCCTTTCTCTCTGAAACCAATAAAAAACATATATTAAAAAAAAGAGTATGAAACAATACAGAGCACTACCAGTTCTAATATTTTATTTCTTATAATCACATTTACTACAAGATTAAATTGATAAGAGACACTCGAGATTACCTCAGATCTACAAAGGAACAACTACTTTCAAATTCCAGGCCATCACAATCCTCATAAAGTTTAGCGGCTGTTTCAGGAGAATCACATTCTACTACTGCATAACAGTATTTTAGTCGTTTGAATTGATAATCTCTCAATTTTTCTCTAGAGGTCCTAAAAAGGGAAAAACTCATTAAGCTTACTTATACAGGAACACAAATACCTATTTACATTTAAGAAATAAATGCAATTGTTTCAAGAAAAATATATTACAACCTTCATACCAATCTTTTCTTCCTCCATGACTTTGGCTTTATGAACATTAAACACTTAAGTTCAATTTATTATTCTGACAAGGTACAAACTAGGTAATTTGTTTGGAATTTGGTATCTAGAAAAGGAAAGTATAAGAATTATAAGTGCTTACCTGTCATTTTAGTTTTAGAAGTTAGTTATTTTGTTTGTTTTGGTACCTCAAAACCCCTTCTCAAATAAAACTGATGGACAAGCACTGCATTATAAAATATACTAGGAAAGCATTAGTTCTAGTTATAAAGAGCGTCTCCATCTGCTCTCTTCTGCCACCAATAATATAGTACTTAACTACCAATTTTATTAAGCGCGCACATAGCTCCACCTAGTGGTTTAAAAACTATGTTAATTTTTTCTATATTACATTAACGTGCCAAAGTTGTTATCAATCTTTTATTTTTGTATTTAATACTCAAGTTAGAAAAATTACATAGCTTGAAGGCAAATAGTTTCAATGCCACTTATGTGGAAAGATATATCCCAGAAAAAGCAATAATTATTTTAATGAATACAGAAACAGAAATACACACACAAAATATTGTTGTAATAGTATGCCACTTCTGACAGACTTTAATCTGCTTTGCAAGTTGTTTTAACTATAAATGGCATGTATAAACTTTAGTCCTAACTTTTAGTGACCAGAATTCTGAATTAGTAACATGAACTTATAAGGTTTAGTTTTATTATCTACTAGAGGAGCGGTTCTCAACCTGTGGGTCGCGACCCCTTTGGCGGTCGAACGACCCTTTCACAGGGGTCGCCTGAGACAATCCTGCATATCAGATATTTACATTACGATTCATAACAGTAGCAACATTACCGTTATGAAGTAGCAACGAAAATAATTTTATGGTTGGGTCACAACATGAGGAACTGTATTTAAAGGGCCAGAAGGTTGAGAACCACTGTACTAGAGGCTCGGTACACGAAAATTTGTGCATTGGGGGGGATGTGTCCCTCAGCCTGGCCTGCCCCCTGTCACAGTCCGGGAGCCCTCAGGGGATGTCCTACTGCGGCTTAGGTTCGCATGTGCTGGGGCTCACAGCTGCCTGAGCCCATGGCTGCTGTGAGCCCTGGGCATCGCAGCCGCTGTGGCTTTGTCCGGATGGAAGTCCGAAAGACATTCGCCCTAATTAGCATATTACCCTTTTATTAGTATAGATAGTAATTTAATACCAGTCCTTTTCAGGGGCATCTTCAGGAATACTTAATAACTCGACTGGTCCTTGAACTTGCTCTTCCTTCATCCTCTCTTTTCCAAACTCCGAAAAATATATCTAAATTAGAAAAAATAAAATCAATGCAATTTATACTTTCCTTTTCTTTCAACATCCAGACCTATCTAGGTCAGTAACTCTAATTTACAATTGGACTCAATGAAAACAGCAAGGTTGACTCATTTCCAAACCCACTATAGGAAGCTAAAGCATACTGAGGAATCTCCTTAAAAATGATCATTTTGGCTGGAGAGTAACTGATGTGGGACTTGAGAACAAAAATAGACTATCTCCTCTATTTATCAACTGGGACAAGATGGTTCAGGGCTCCAAGGGAAAAATTTAAAAAACCAAAAACAAGATTCTAAAGAAACTCAATGTAAACATACACATGAAAAATGGTATTAACTAGCTTACATAAAATATACAAAAAATGATTAAAGAAATATCCTCTATAATAAAAGCCTAATATGGAAATTGTCCCCTCAGGCAGTCGTTCGACCAGGAGACGTGGAGTTCAACCGCTCACTATGATGTGCGTTGACGACCAGGGGGAAGCGTGGAACATGGAGGGCGTCAGCGACGCGGCGTTGGCAGCGGGCAGCAGTAGAGGCACTGCTGGCCCTGGTGGGCCCCGACGAGAGCGGGACTGTGGCGGGATGATAAAGCAGGTGAGCAGGTGGCGCCAGAACAAGGCGGGTGTGAGCGGGGACCCGACTGCCACGCCGATGGCGACCAGAGGTGGTAGCAGGGGGTGAGGGGGGTCCAGCCCCAACCTATCGCCCACAGACAGTGACCAGTGGCAGCGGTTGGGGGCAGGGCCACCACCCAGCTCCCAGGCACTGAGGGAACAGGGCAGGGGGCCCAGCCCCAATCAATTGCCCCGCAGGCGGGATGGTGGAGCAGGTGAGGGGGCGGCGCTAGGCCAAGGTGGGGTGCCAGGTGGGGCTGCGGGGCTGCAAGGCTGGGGGCGCGAGCTGAAGCCCGTTCTCCACAGGCCACTCCAAGTGACCCCCCACCCGTGCACGAATTCATGCACCGGGCCTCTCGTATAAAACATAATGAAAAAAAACCAATTTTGTAATACCTACCTTATCTCTAAGTCATAATTTATTCAATGCTTTTTTTTAAAAAAGACATTCCTTTTAATAGAAAGGCACTGTTACATGACAGTTTTATCACATACATTAGATATATACGTATGGTCTTGGTATAAGAAAAAGGATTCATCCTCACTAGGATTTGGTATTTTTATATTTTGACTACTTTTGAGTCAAGAAATATAACTGTATGTATGCGGGGACAGTAGGAGGGGATGGAATGGGGCTGGAGGAGGTTAATGGGGGAAAAAAGAGGACCTATATAATACTTTCAACAATAAAGATTAAAAAAAGAAAATATAACTATTAATTTGCATTGTCTTGACACTACTAGGCTTAACATACATTTAACTAATACGTATTTTTTGGAATTGTGTGAAATATCCAATTTATCAACTGGGCATGAGTTTTCCTTACTACTTTGAGTTGCATATAATAGGATTTGATGTAGAATTTAAAAATATATATGTAATCACATCTGTTGATTCTGTTTGTGTGTGTTTCTTTCCTTTTCTAAGTGTAGAAATTTCTACTACCAATCTCCTAAAACTCAAGATTTAACAAAAACACAATTCTATTTCTGTGGTTTGGTTTTTAATTTTTTTCCCTTTACTTTATCTGGAGTTTATTTGGGGCTCTCATAAGGTTGGGATCTGAACTAAGTTCTCTATACAAAGACTTGTCCCAATGACATGATCTATCTCATCATTTGAACTCTTTTTATCTATACCATTCCATTTACTTGTCCCCCTTTTTTTTTACCCAAACCTGTTAATTCCCATAGCATTATAAAATGTATAGAAATTATAACTGGTAAGGTCCTTTTATATTGGTATGATTTCTCAAAAATTTATTAGTCATCCTTACTTGTTTATTCTTTTTTTTAAAATATATTTTATTGATTTTTTACAGAGAGGAAGGGAGAGAGAGATAGAGAGTTAGAAACATCGATGAGAGAGAAACATC